ATTCTTACTTACAATGATCAGACCCAGCTACAAGCACAACTATTACATCTTCTGGTACGTCCAGTGGTACTTCCACTGGTACTTCCACTGGTACTTCGACTGGCGCTTCTACTGGTACTTCAACAGGCGCCTCCACTAGTACTTCTATCTCGACTGGCGCTTCTACTGGTACTTCCACTGGCGCTTCCACTGGCGCTTCCACTGGTACTTCCACTGTTTCCACTAGTATATCGACCGGCACTTCCACTGGCACTTCCACTGTTTCCACTGGTACATCGACCGAATCTTCAACTGGCACTTCTACTGGCACATCCACTAGCACATCCACTGGCACTTCTACTGGCACTTCTACTGGCACTTCCACTGGCACTTCCACTATTTCCACTGGTACATCGACCGGCACTTCCACTAGTGTATCGACTGGGGTATCGACTGGGGTATCGACCAGCACTTCCACTGGTGTATCGACTGAAACTTCAACTGGTTCTTCTACTGGATTGTCAACTGAAACTTCAACTAGCACTTCTATATCGACTGGCACTTCGACTGGTGTAACGACTGGCACTTCTGCATCGACTGACACATCGACTAGTACCCTGTCTACCACGGCTACAATCTCTCAGACGACAACTAGCGCACCAAGTACCACCACTTCGTCCTCACCAATCTGTAACTTGAACATCAACGTCTGTCTGGACTCCCCATTGATCACGGCAAATTCAGTCGCTACCTATAATTGTCCGCTCCTCTTTGGCGTTCTATGCACTTTGAACGACCTCCTATCTGCTATACCTCAATTTTTAGGACTGAACCCGAACGTCCTTTCTATCCTCGTTGGTAATAATCAAGTCATTGGTTTAAGCCTCACGCCTGAACAGGTATCAGCCGCAGTGGACCTAGGAGAATTGGACAATCCGGTATGCGACCTCTTAGGAGGCCCAATCAGTGTTGTGCTTCTGGACCCAACGTGCCCTAACCCTCCTACGACAACGAGCTCTTCGAGCATCACAACCCTGGCGACGTTGTCTACCTTATCATCTACAAGTACCCCACAGCCGACAACAACTACACTGGCGACAACCACCACGGTTCCTACAACCCTGTCCACTACTACCACAACACCAGAGCCACCAACAACTACACTGGCGACAACCACCACGGTTCCTACAACCCTGTCTACTACCACAACAACCACGTCAGCTGCTGCAACAAGCACCACTGCAGCTTCTCAGTGTAATGCGCAGGTGCAATTCTGTGAGGCTCTGGTACTTCCATGGATTGTGAATCTCCAGGCCTGCCCCAATGTCCTTGGATGTTCCAACGCCCAAATGCAAGCTTTCGCTAACTCATTTATCGGGCAACCGGGTGTCCAGTCGGTCGCGTATGCCAACAACATCGCCTACGGTTTCAGTCTGACAACTTCTGAATTGC